CCTAAAAATGGCTGAAGTCACGTACTATAATTACAATAGTGGCAAATTTTTTTCAAAGTAGAAGGCCTACATAAAAAGGCAATAGTACATAAACATGAAAGAAAGTTATATAAAACACGTTAAAGAAAGCTAGAGGTCTATATGAACATGTGAAAGCAAGTCAGTAGTCGTTTATGAAAGTCAGCAGTCCTCGATATTTTTCATCGACAAAATTTAATACTGTTTTTTACTCGTGGTCTTTGTTCTCAGGTAAACTGTTTAATTTGCGTTACCCTTTAATAGGCGTACATGTTTTGTTAGTAATAGGTCGTTGTACTCTGTACACTCTTTTAAATATGAGTATGTGGGTGGTTGGCGAGAGCTCTGACGTGGTAGTTTGCTCCTTCTTTCCTATCAAACATCAATCGTCTTTATCTCCCCTCCTTCTTCTTTGTGCTTGTTACTCCGATGTAACACCTCTAATCTCCGGCACCTTTTGACCTTAATGTGTTGCAATTGTCGTAAAACTCTTACGAAAAAAAAAGAATATTTTTCCAATCAAATTAGGTTGACCAACGTCTGTGGTGTAGCGGGTTAGGCGCTTCGCTGTCATACACATAAGACCCGAGTTCGGTTCTCGAATGGGGAGAAATGTTTATTGAGTGCATGTATTTTGGTCTTTCTGCCGGTCGACCCTCACAAGAATGTTCAAAAGCCTGCCTCCTAAATAATTAAAAATCATATTGAAGGGGGCGTAGACACACTCATATTGAAAAACCCAAAAACAAAACAAAACTAGAGAGTCTAGATCTATACAAAATTTAGCAAAAGTTTTCCCTGTGCATTGCGAACCTACAAAGAAGGCCTCATTGTTGTCCGTAAACTCATCCCAATATTCAAAGCCTTAAGCCCTTTCCAACCTGGGTGGAATTGTTTTTAAAACCCTTTCAAATAGTAAAGTCGTGAAAGGCTCAATTTTACAGGACAAAAGCGTTTAAAATTGTCACCTGAAAATCCTTTGCAAACAACGTACATAGATAGACACATTTAAAACGTCAGCCCGGCTTACGCCGTCCGAAATTACTTTTGTCGCCCTAAGGTTCAGTCAGAGCCCTTTGGCGGTGTAGTCAAAGGTCAAAGTTCGGAACGGGTATCTTTCATATTATACGACAAAGTTGGAGAGGGTTTCATTATCAGTTCTGCTCTACTGGAGGAGGGGGTAGATGTGCATAGATATATGGTGTTGTTGAAATTGTGAATTCTTCAAATTTGGGAAAGTGTTGTGCTGAGGATACGCCTGCTGGTAAGTCATAATAAAAGTACCGACGCGTAGAGTGGAAAAAAAATTATGCGGTACGCCTAAGATTATTGCAAGCAAATCATGATTTTCCACCCCCGGTTTCGGAAATAAAAGATAGCAACCCCACTCGTCTTAGCAAAACTTTAAGGGGGTATGACATGCTCAGTTTAAACTGACAGTTGTACGTCCTCAATGTGATAAGAAGACTTATGCATTATGCATATTTGGGAAATACATCTTTTTGTTATCTTCAAAATGCATGAAAATGTTATCATTCGCGGGCAGCAGATGGTCCAGCAGTGTCCAGACGCACAAAAGTCAAGCTGTACTATCTATATATGCCTGACTTTCTTTTTTTTTTTAGGGGGGGGGGGGTGGCCGTTAGCGAGGTAGTCAACCACACCTGTGGCCCTCCGACGATAAAGTTTACCTTCATAAACGTACTGAAAACCTCGTCCTATCGTAAAAATGATATCAAATTCGGAAACAGTGTTTTAAATTTTGCCGCCCTTTTTTAAAAAATCAGGTATAAAGCGGGTTTTGTAAATTTTTTGGGGGGGGGCCCCCCCCCCCCCCCCAAAAAAACACACACACACACACACACCAACCCCCCCCCCCCCCCCCCCAACACACACTAAAAACATTAAAAATACACACAAAAGAAAACAACAACTCGAAACAACACAAAGAAACAAAGAGAAATAAACCAAAAGACCAAAAAAACACACAAAAAACAAACCCGGAATGATGCTCCAAGAAAAAAAACTCTTTGCAAAAATGTCAAGTCATTATTTATTTACAAATTTGATGATAACTTCCTTTTTATCTTTAAGCAAACTTGTTTAATAAGACTGATTGCATTTTTTGAATGACGGCAGAATTTACATTATGACTCGCGAGTAATTTCGTTTTCTTGCTGGATTTTTGAAGATCACAAAAAAAGTTCTTTTACCAAGATAGCACCATGTATCATTTTCTTATTACAAAGAGAACGAACAACTGTCAGTTTGAACTGAACGTGTAATATCGCCTTATTTTTATTACAGATGTTATCTGGAGTTATAAAGGCTGAGGGTTAATCAGTATGCATATACACGGAACACCGTGAGGAACCGACTTGCTACAGTTAGTGTTAGCGTTGGTCTTTATTTGTCCGCAGCATGGTCCGACCGACCCATGCTCCAACATTCTGATACAAATTGACCTCTTTCTCAAATGACGCAGTAGATTCCTCTGCGCCATATCTGTACATGTATTTCCTTTTTGAACTCTTTAAGTACGTAGCAGATACATAATATTTTTATAATGCCCGTTCAGCAGAAAAACAAAAGCAATCTTGTGGCAAATGTTGCCATTATACAAAAATTCAATTATCAGAAACTCAAACTAGTATATTTACTAGTATTCGTGTTGTTGCCCGCCTTTTAAAAGTTCAGATGAAGAAAACAGTACCGAAAAATCTATATGAATAACGAAGTTATGCTTAGCTCTTAAAGTGACCCAAAACAGCGCGTCTTTAGACATTGTCGAATGGCCAGAACAGAAGGCGTCGTCAATGAAGACACATATTGAGGACACAAAACACACACATTGAAAACATACAATAAGGACATATAATGAGGACACAAAACACACACAATGAAAACATACAATAAGGACATATAATGAGGACACAAAACACGCAATGAAGACACAAAATTTGAACACACGCTATTTTGGGCCACTGTTTAAAAAACGAGCGTAACTTCCTTTTCATAAAGATTCTTCACTTTTCTTTACGTTCCTTGAAACATAAAAATGCAAGCATACTATGATACATTATTATTGTGCAAATTTGTATTTCTGATTAGCGTGTTTGAAATTTGCAACAACTTTACCTTTGGTCTGTTAATGGGTGGGCATAAAGAGTCCACTATGTAGTCAGTTATTAGAATAGTATATTGTTTTTTTTATGTATGAGGTTTTACTCTCAGTAATCTGCGTATGGAATAGAGCGTTGTATAAATGCACTGCATTATTATTATTATTATTATTATTATTATTATC